TCACCCAGTGTGACTCTATACAGTGAATAGGGGCCTTAAGCAGCCTCTAGTGCCTGGTCTACTGGATATTCAGTACTTCATAGTCTGGCCTACCACAACCATATTTTTATGTCCTATACCAGCTATGAGCTATAGTGCAGCAGGAATTCCAGATGAGACATGCATGTCTAATGTCCGCACTGCATTTTGTATCATGGCTGACATGCCAGTACATGATCTGGTAGGATGGTGGAGTCTTGGATTGAACCTTGACCGTAAAGAATTGAGGTTTGTGGATGGACTGTGACCATGTTGGTTTATGACATGAACTGCAGGTCTTCCCTCATTGTGAGGCTGGGAGATAGGTGTGGAGGTAGTAGTGTTTTGTATGCAGGGCATGGCGGAATTGAAGGGCCAATTCTGAGGAGCTCACTGTCTGAAATGTGTGGCTAGCTAGGCTAGTCTTCAGGTGATTGACAAGGAGAAATCTCCTGGGTGTGAAGTTGCATGACTCTTAAAGCTCATTGGACTCGTGTCAGTGTTCAGTTCTGCGAAGTTCTGCTAAGCTCTTCAGGCCTAATGGCAGCTGATACTCCCTCCCTTGTAAGGATTTGGGTTCACAGCTCATTAGTGCAGGGAACCAATATTCCATCCTTTCACTTTAACGTCTATCAAATGCAAACTGAACATTCTCTCTTTCTCTTGGCTCATTGTTGATGTATGGCAGAGGTGGAGAGAGTCAGTCAGTAGGTGTGCTCACCTCCCTCTCTCTTCTCTCTCAGATATAGATGAGTGCTCTGAAGAGCAAGACAAGGGGCAGGCGTGTCACCATTTGTGTCACAACACCCCGGGTGGGTTTGTGTGCTCCTGTCGCCGTGGATACCAGCTAAAGCCTGACAACAGCACCTGCAAGCGTACGTACAGAGAGAGTGAAAGATGAGCAGCATAGTGTACATGTGTTCTAAAAACTACCGTGTTCCAAATGCTCTTTTCACCTCTAGGTCCCCTTTCCTTTGCTGTTGTCCGGCACATAAGTGCCATTGCTTTACATATGTCTGTGGGTTTTCTAGGTCTATTGAAAGCAGCAGCACATGAAGAAGGTGCTGCAGTTATTCAGTTGGTCCAGTAAAGCCAATAACAAACCATCAGATATGTCACGCTGCAGCTCACACCTGCCAGCCCCACTGAAGCTCAGCAGGTGTGAGACTGGTCAGTACCCGGATTGGAGACCTCCTGGGAAAGCTAAGGTTGCTGGTCTGTGTGGTTCCTAATGTCCTGATATTAAGCGCAAAATCAACCACTGCCCACCCCTGCAGGCACCTCCACCATGGGCAACCTCCCCTCCAAGACACACAAACGTTACTTTCAAGGAAACAAACCAGCACAAATGCAGCACTGACAAATGCGGTGGGTTTCATCGTTTGTGCTTCACAGAGCTTGTTTTTCATAGAAGACGTAAAACCGAGGCCCTGACTCTCTGTGGTCGGTAAATATCCCGGGGAGTTTCTTGAAAAGAGTAGGGGTGTTACCCTAGTGTCCTGGTCAAATTTCACCCTGGCCTTTACCCATCATGGCCTCCTAATAACCCCCCTCTCTGAACTGGCTTCATCACTCTGTTCTCCTCCCCACTGAGAGCTGGTGTGTGGGGAGAGTACTGGAGCATCATCCTGGTGGGGCTGCACACTGGTGAGGAACAAGGTGAGTCCCCGTGACCTGTAAAAGTGCTTTCAGTGGAGTGTCCAGCAAAAAAACACTGTGTAAGTGTAAGGATTCTTCTTCTTCTTATTATTATTATTTGGAGTTCAGAGGGACTGATAACATGGAGGTACCAGCTCTCCAGCTGCTGAGTTGGACCACACTGTTCTGTTTCGCAAAGTGACCAAATCCTTGAGCTCCCTGGTGTTCATTACACCTTTAACCTCAACAATATTACTTGAAAACTCAAGTTTTGACTCAGCGTCTGAGTATTGGGTGCAGGTTTCGAACATGTGGACAGAAACAATACAGCAGAGAAACAGATATTCAGAACACAGTACACCGGGTGATAGATCTCTCGACACAATATCTCTTTGCAATGGGCAGTATCTGGAGAAAAATGTTAAGCTTTTCCTTGTTTTTTTTTCCCTCCTTCATTCTTTAAATATTAATGAAACCCTATCACTTTGTTGGGGTTTTGGTGTCTGACTACTGCATAAGCATATGGACTGAGCTCTCCCCCAGGAACATAAGTATCTATGCAGGCCCTTTCTGCAGGCATTACATTGCAATGCACTGATAATTCTGTTGTCCTGTGTGATGCCCTGATGTTTGATATTGCGGTTCTAGCTGTGAAGTGTGGCTACCCAAAAATACCGGAGAACAATCATTGTCGAGTCGTCACGGAGAACCCCAAAACCGTGTACCAGGCTGAGATCCGGTTTGGGTGCGAGTCCAAATATTACAGGCTGGAGGGAGACGGTATGAGTTTTTTTTTCTGCCTTTTCGTCTGTGCCTCCGTTTTTACAACTGTGCCTCATTCTGTTTCTCTTTCTGACTGCAGCCTGACTGTGTCTCTTTGTTGTATAGATGTATTTGTCTTTACTGTTTCTCCTGGGTCTACGCAGCTAAGCCAGAACTTACATTTAGCTTACACGACCTTATATAAGCATAATGTACAGAGCGCTTGCTTATAAGGTACTGTATGTTCACACTTACAACATGTTAATGTCTGTGTTAATACACTATAAAGCTGTTTGTATACTATAGGTTTGTGTTTATATACAAAAAGATAATACTATGGATATGTGTTAATACACTGCAGATATGTTTATAGATAATAAGTCAATTTTAATATTCTGTGTTAATTTACTTCAGGTTTATGTTAATAAGAGTGGGGAGTTGTTTCACAAAGCGAGATTACTCAGTTAACCTGATAACTTTTGTAAACATGATGACAACAGTCAGGATATTCGGTTGCACGAAGCAGGTTTAATTGTATCCTGTTACTGTAAATAACTATAGCAACACAGCCTCTATCGGCTGCTTTGGGGGCTTTGAGGTTAAGAGTTTGGCTCCCAAACCTCTGCAAAATATGACTTACTTTTCTTCAGGGCTCAAGTTTCTCTCCAGATTTACAGAGAGAAATGTTTAGAGATCGCCTTTTATTGTTCAATGATAACTTTTCTTTGAAAGATACTGTGTCAGCAGAAAGAGTATACTTCACATTCTCAATCACTTAAACCCATAGCTATGACAAGCGACATTAACAATGTATTGCTAATGACAAGCGGCATTAACAATGTATTGCTAATGCTGTTTGTCATAGCTAACTATTAAAGAAACTCCGTTCACAGGGCTGAGATTCCTTGTGCCTGGTGCAGTTTATTTTACAGTGCTGGCAAGTTGGAATGCTTCTTTGGGTTTTTTAGGGTCTATGGTAATCTTTGAGTGCTTGCTGTGTTTATTAATCTCACCCTGTTTCTCTCTCTCAGAGGTGTACAGATGTGAAGCTCAGGGCTACTGGAGGTCTGTGAATGGCAATCGGGCTTTTCCAAAATGTGTTGCAGGTGGGAATCAATACTAAACAATTTAATCCAATGAGGCACCTGCTGTATTACCAAGGCTGGGGAACGGGCAAAAACCAGGAAATACACTAAGCATTTTATTTAGTTATTACTAGTGACTCTTGAACTAGAAAGGTTTTCTGTTTCATAGTATTCTCACTCTTTCTCTTTGCTGTAATACAGGTTTGTGTTAATATACTGTAGCTTTGTGTTAATAAACAACC